ACATACCAAACCAGTAAACATCTCTCTACACAGGACATGGAAATGGATCAGCACACTGCATCAGTTACATACCAAACCAGTAAACATCTCTCTACTAAGGAGGATGAATACAGATTGATTTCAGGGTTTTCCCCTGACCTTGGTCTTGTTTCAATTGATGACAAATCTTCTGTAAAGTCCGATGATATCGATTCTAGGAATTCAGTAGTTCTACTTCCAAAACGAAAACCTCCTACTACTGCAGAGTTAATGGAGACTGTAGAGGATTGTGGGATACCCCAATGTCATCACCAAAAGCCTTTTTATAGCAATCCAGATGATGCTCCAGAAACCACCATGTAAGCATTCCAAGTGAACTCCCTTTTATCGTGACACAAGTATTACAAACACGCTAATCTAATTATTGTTTTTCTCTTTTTAGGGATGTTGGGGGACGCCTTCTAAAAGTTCAATCCAAAGCAGTAAGTACAGTAGCTTTTCATAATGACACAATAATCTTAGCATGACTGACCCTTTTCATTGTATTCTAGGTAAAGAACCTCCCAGAGTTTGATACACGGAGCCCTGTGGCGGGAATAAGGGATTGGAGACAACTCCTTTGTGCTGACCACGAGTCTAGTTTCCTGAATGAGTGTCAACAGAACATGGGTGGTACAGAAGGATTCGTGAAGGAAATCGAAAATAATCCACGGCTAAGGCTTGCTTTTATGGATGATAAACCACTTGTAGTAACACCTTGTAAATTACCTCCTCCTCCTTCGATCGTGTCCTCATGGGTAAAAGAGAAACTGATGAAAAACAAGCTCTTGGTACAGGAAAAAGAAAAATATGGACAAAAAAGGGACCAGATTGATGATGACAGAGATCAAGAAAAGTCAAAGTCAAAACTTGATGATAATCATGCAAATGATTCTGTTACGATTAACCACCAAGAATTGACAAGTCCTTGTAGTTTATTTTCTCCAATAGAACAGAAATTCACTCTAGATGAAGCAAAACATACCAGAGATGATGAAGCATGCATAACAAGAGAATCCAGTCAAACACAGTCGAATGAACATTTGGGAAATCAATGGCAAGATAGATTTGGAATGGGAGTAAAACCTGATCTTGATAACTCTAAAGCGTTATATAAAGAACACTGTCCATCAACTCCATCTGCAAGACAATTAAAGTGTACCTTATTTGGTCCTCACCACAGTACTCCTATATTACCTGAAAATAAGATCAACCCATCCCAGTTACCTCTTCTTACGCCGATTATCGTAGGAGCTTCGGATAAGCCTCCAGAAGAAAGAACCAATAAACAAACTAGACGCCAGTTAATACTAAGCCAACGCAAGGTATTCCTTGTATGCAGTTGATATGCTATTGGGTGTATGCATGGTATCATTATTCAGTGATTTTGTTCTTGTTCTTTATCAGTTTGTCTCCCCTGATGTTCGATTAAGGTGTGGTGCCGATGCAGGATCTGAGATTGAAGGTCCTTCTCCCATAAATACTGGGGGTTTCAAGGTGCCCAAGATGAACATTCAGGAAAATAAACCATCTCATGAGGTGAGCCTTTGAATAGAGCTGCTGTATCTTTAGAAAAAAATGATATTTAACAAGTACTGACTTTGATTTTGAACAGGTACAACATCTTACCCTTCTCAGTATTGAGCTTCATGTCCGAACGCGAAGAGATCTTCGACCTGATCCTGAATTTGATTCTATCTGTGCTATTTTTTATCATGCACAGACGGATTCTTGTCTCCCAGGAGGTAAAAATCATCTCACAGGTGTCATTTGTGTTGATAAAGATTCTAATAAAAATAATAAAAGAACAACCGAAAAAACATCATCTGGCAGTGAACTTTTAACTTCAAGCATTGGATGTCAACAGAAAGAAAAAAGGCTGTTCCTTGAACGTTCAGGTAATTAATTTCAGAGTATAAATAAATGATTGCACACTGATCAATGATTACTAATGAATAATTATACTCAGTGTTAAAAGTTGAAATGTGGATATTTTATGGTTGAAACAGGTGTTACCAAGTATGTTACTCATTATGTGGATGAGGAAAAGGAACTTTTTGGGGAATTGCTTCAACTTGTTCGTAAATGGGATCCCGATATCTTGATTGGCTATGAAGTGCAAATGTTGTCATGGGGATATTTGATTCAACGAGCTTTAGTGTTTGATGTGGATTTATGTAAAATGCTATCACGAGTCACAGGATCTTCAAGTGAATGTAACATGGATGCCGAGAAAGACAAGTGGGGTGCATCACATACTTCAGAACTGAAAATACCAGGCAGAATTGTATTGAATGTATGGAGGTTGATGAGACATGAGGTGAGACCCTCATAATTTAATGCTGTAACCCTTACTCATGTATCTGATATCCATATATCTATACACCATACATATGTGGTGGATAGTGTACTCATGTATCTGATATCCATTTATCTATACACCATACATATGTGATGGATAATGTACTCGTGTATCTGATATCCATATATCTATACACCATACATATGTGATGGATAATGTACTCGTGTATCTGATATCCATATATCTGTACACCATACATATGTGATGGATATTGTACTTGTGTATCTGATATCCATATATCTGTACACCATACATACGTGATGGATATTGTACTTGTGTATCTGATATCCATATATCTGTACACCATACATACGTGATGGATATTGTACTTGTGTATCTGATATGTGCTAGATAGTGGAAGTGTACTCAGTCTTGCATATGTATTTTTTTAACTTCACACCTTTTATCTTTTATAACATCAGATTTGATATTTTATAGGTCACACTAAACACGTATACATTTGAAAATGTAGCGTTTCATGTATTGCATGAACGTATTCCCCTTTTCACGTATCGTTTGCTTTCTGATTGGTGGGATCACAAGACTGACCTGCATCAGTGGCGAACTATCAATCATTATGTTACTCGCTGTCATGGTAACGTACGGATACTTGAGCAAATTGATTTCATTGGTCGAACAAGTGAGCTTGCAAGGCTTTTTGGGATATTGTTTTACAATGTCATATCACGTGGTTCTCAGGTATGATGATAGTATAGTTTTGATCTATTTGGGAATGAACTTCTCTACTCAGTGTCCTACAACTAATGCTGCTCTTGATCAAAACAGTTTCGTGTGGAGTCAATGATGCTTCGTATTTCAAAACCCATGAATTACGTACCTGTCTCACCCAGCCACCAACAAATAAGCAAGTAAGTTCTCCAGATTTAACTTTAATTTTGTTTTAGATCCTCATGCAGGATTCTATTTTCTAGCATTGTGAGCACATAACTCACTGGCATCTAGATTTTATGGAGAAATATTTGAAGCTGGATTATTTAGGGACACCATCATAGCAGGAGCGAGGACAATGCATCAAATGAATAAACTCAATGACTATTTGAAGCATTTAGTACCAGTAAAGGTGTTAGCCTGCTCTTGTCTAATGATGTAACATTTATTTAACAGTATGCACGCACCTGAAGTGATCCCCCTGGTACTGGAGCCTGAATCCCGTTTCTATAGCGACCCAGTGCTTGTCCTAGACTTCCAGTCCTTGTACCCTTCAATGGTCATTGCTTACAATTATTGTTACTCTACATGTCTGGGAAGAGTGGCTCAATTATCAGAGTGAGTAGTTCAGTCATGCAAGTTGTGTTGTTGGGTGTTTCCATCATTTCTTGAGTCTGAGAAACAAAGTGCATTCTGGTCTAGCTTGGGGAGTACAAAAATAGATACTACATAGAGCAAACTAGAGCATGTTCATGCAACCATGTTCATTCTTATCTATACTTACTTGCATATCAAAATATCTGTGTACAGGACTGGTGAGTTCAAATTTGGTGCATCTTCACTCTCTGTTCCTTTTACATTGCTCAAGGTAAAGTCAACTTTCCATTCTTTAAAGTTCCCCATATTCATGTTTAATATCAAGTGTCTATTAATTACAATATATAAAATCAAAAATCAACTACTAAATTCTAATTCGATCTTTGGGTTTTCACTTAGTTTGGAGCCTAGCTCTGTTGTGATTGTCCCACGCTGTGATGCAACAGTGAAAGCTTTGTAGATTTTGAAGAAAAAATAAGATAATCAACTCATAGAAGGGATAGTTATTCACTGTTGTTAACTTTCCTTTGAAACAGAAAATTGAAGATGATATTCATGTATCTCCTAATGGAGTTGCATTTACGAAACCTAGAATAAGAAGAGGAGTTTTGCCTAGGTAAGAACCCTGACCACCACATTCACCAAGATAGTGATCTGTCTGTGCGATTGTAACTGAAATACTTCATGGGCTTTCTGATATTGGTTGTTTGTTAAAACAGAATGCTGGAGGCCATTTTAAATACAAGAATAATGGTGAAAAATTCCATGAAGAAATGGAAAAGCAATAAGGTATGCACTCCATTCTTGTTTTCTATAGATTCTTTTGAAGGGGATTTTCAATTGTGCCCTTTATGACAATAGAAATGCAAAATTTAACGAGGGAAAATTCATTAAACAAAAGTTATCTAACGTATATGGTCCTCAAAGAAGGGTACAGATAAGGTAAGAATTAAATGTTGGGGGAAGAGTGAAAAAGATGTAAGCATGAGACAGAGATGGTAGGAAAATGGAAGTGAGTTGTGACAATAGAATGAAAAATATTTATTATCTTGGTATTGTAATAGATAATACTCCTCCATTTGTCTCATGATCGAGGGTCATTTGTAGGAAGGAATGCTTTCCTTTTTGTTGTTAGACAAAAGGATAAGTATCATTTATTAATTTCAATAATGAATAGATTCATGCCTGAATTTTATAACTGCTGAGTTTGTATTCTTATTCTATCTCAGTCTGTCCATCGTATGCTTGACGCACGTCAGTTGGGTCTCAAGTTAATCGCCAATGTCACTTTCGGATATACAGCTGCACACTTCTCTGGAAGGATGCCTTGTGTTGAAGTAAGTGGCCAAACAAACCCCCAATACTACCAGATACTACAATTAATATCTATCCCTCATAATCATGTTTACTGATTTGATTCTAGATTGGTGACTCTATCGTTCGCAAAGCCCGTGAAACATTAGAGCATGCAATCAATGTAGTAAACAATACCAGTAAATGGGGAGCACGAGTTGTCTATGGTGATACCGACAGGTAAGCCATCCATCCCATCCCCTTCCTGTGTAAAAGTACCCGACTTTAACCAGATGAAAACTGGTGTTCTTTTCTGTAGTATGTTTGTGCTACTAAAAGGAGTTACCAAAGAAGAAGCATTCAGGATTGGACAAGAAATCGTGGACACGATTACTTCACTGAATCCAAAACCAGTGAAACTGAAATTTGAAAAGGTAAGGTTTTATAATAGAGAAGATGACAGTATGACCATAGTAAAACGTAGCTGTTTCACAAGGTCAATCCAAGCCTTGCTGTAAAAGTTTATCAGGCCATCTAGACCCTACCGTAGATATAAAATGGTGATTTTGTATTACAGGTATATTTGCCTTGTGTGTTGCAAACCAAAAAGAGATACGTGGGCTACATGTACGAAACATTGGATCAAAAAGAACCTATATTTGATGCGAAAGGAATTGAGACAGTGCGTCGAGATACATGCCCTGCTGTTGCAAAGGTTAGTGACAATAACTTTTTGATACTAGACAGAAAGACAGATGGTTGACAGTGTGGTGAACGGACAGATGGACAATAAGGTGGACAGATGAAAGCCTTACAGACAGTAGGATGAACGGACTGACTGACGGTCAAACAATGGCTATACATACACATGCAGATAAATAAATAAACATAGTATATATGAATAAATAGACAGACCGATAAACGAAAAGTAAAGAGAGAAATTAAGTAGTCAAATGGACAAACATACAGAAATACAGGTACAGTCAAATGTTGTCAAAAGATACAGCATACTAGTATACTTATTGCCATAATTCATTTTTGGATATAGGTACTAGAAAAGTCACTTCGAATAATGTTTGAGACAAAAGATATTTCCCTCGTAAAACGTTACGTTCAGCGTCAGTTTGGCAAGGTCTTGGAGGGCCGTATTTCACTACGAGACTTGACCTTTGCCAAAGAATATCGTGGCATGCCATCGTACAAGCCAGGAGCCTGTGTTCCGGCATTGGAATTAGCAAGGTTGGTAGTGGTTTGTGTTTCTTCTATCTACATGTTATGACAGTAATGTTTGTATTGCAAAATGTTTTATTACGGTGCTTGATTTAGGCAAATGCTAAAAGAGGATCGAAGATCTGAACCATGTGTTGGTGAACGTGTGCCTTATGTTGTAACGTATGGTACTCCTGGTCTACCTCTGATACGACTTGTTAAAAGGTAAACTACCTAGTATTTCCTAGCCTTCTCCCCTCATACAACATGGTCCAAGCTCTTGAGTAATGGGGGTAAACTACCTAGTATCTCCTAGCCTTCTCCCCACATCCAACATAGTCCAAGCTCTTGAGTAATGGGGGTAAACTACCTAGTATCTCCTAACCTTCTCCCCACATCCAACATGGTCCAAGCTCTTCAGTAATGGAGAAGGAGGTGAGATCCAGGGGCATAGCCAGGATTTTGCCTTGGGGGGGGGGGGGGGGGGACCCTTTTAAAAATATCAGTAAGTCATGTGGCTACATTGATGTTTAATTTTCTACTGCATGAGGATGGGTAGCCTTGGCCCCCCTGGCTATGCTCCTGGAATCAATACAGCATGGTTATTTTGCTCAGTAACCAATATTAATGGTGCATGGTAGTTCTCTACCACCCAGTTTTCCTACTATTTCTCTTAGTTAATCTCTTAGTTTGCAATTGATGATATTTTAGGCCTCTTGAAGTGCTTCAAGACACAAATCTTCGAATCAATGCCATGTATTACATAACCAAGCAGCTGATACCTCCTTTAAATCGAGTATTCACACTCATTGGTGTTGACGTTAAAACCTGGTAAATATTATAGTAATCCTTGTTTATAGTTCGTCAGTTTATCAGTATCGTATTCCCTAAAAACCTAATGTTATTTTATTTGTCATCAATTTTAATAAATGGTTTTATTGTCATAAGGTTCGCAGATGTACCTCGCATAGCACGAGTAAGAACACAGCCATGTGCCAGCACTACTCTGGACATCCCCAAGGTAAATAAAAGAGAATTAACAAAATGTCTGCACGTAACTGCCATGTTCAGTATATTTGATTCTTTCTTTTCATAGAAAACAATTTCTCATTACTTCTATACGACAAACTGTCCAGTGTGCCAGCAAATCACAACCAAGGGATTATGCGAGATGTGTTCCAATCAACCACAGAAGGTGCTCGTAATACTGAATGGCCGGTTAAGGAAGTGGGAAAGAAACTATCAGAATCTCACCCAGGTGAGTAAGCTTACTTTTTAACATGATCTAACGTGATGGGGCCCGTGAGACCCTCAACCACACCCAGGTGAGCATGCTTACTTGTTAACATGATCTAATATGATGGGGCCCATGAGACCCTCAACCACACCCAGGTGAGCATGCTTACTTGTTAACATGATCTTACATGATGGGGCCCGTGAGACCCTCAACCACACCCAGGGGAGCATGCTTACTTGATAACATGATCTATCATGATGGGGCCCATGAGACCCTCAACCACACCCAGGTGAGCATGCTTACTTGATAACATGATCTAACGTGATGGGGCCCATGAGACCCTCAACCAC